TGGTCAAAATTTACTTATACAAGCAAAGATAAAATTTTTTGTAAAATCTGACTTTCTTTAAACCTATTGTCGTTACAAAATAGTTCGACATCTGTACCCTGAAACAGAAACTTTGTTCATTCCTAAACAACAATCGTATTTATTTCTGATACAGACAGTATTTATTTCTGATACAGACAGTATTTATTTCTGATACAGACAGTATTCAGGCGATGTGAGACTTGTTATATCAGTAGGGAGGCGAGTTGGAGGATCACAAGGCGTCTCAGTGAGGACTTGAATGGGCCACTCCAGGTGGATGATTTGATTAACGGACTAAAGCGAGTCCAGCTCCTCAGTACACCAGCTTGTGAGCCTCTAACAGGATTACAAGTCATCTGCTGCAGCTCTACCAGCCAGTGGTCCTTAACCTGCTCTCCCCTCTGTGTTCTATGTTCAAAACATAACCTGCGTCCTCTCTGGAATCTGTCAACCATGACGATCAAAATAAAACGCCATCATTTCTTTTGCTCCTTTCACTCGATTCGTCTTGTAGTTCACTCGTTTTCTACCATCACTCAGCTGCTTTCATCTGAAGTGTTATTTAAACCTGGATATGATTTATACTCATAACAAGTAGCGTCTCTCCAGCTTGTCTGTGCACAGTATCTGCCTCCATGTCAGCAAATGGATCTGCTTTTGTGACACATCCTTTTTGCGCCCTCTGGTGGGATCAAGAAGTAAAGGATATTCATATCCATCCCTGTCGCAGTCAATATCCCACTACTTCCTTCTCTACATTTATTTTCATCTGTCCTTCCTGTCATACTTTACTCCATGCTTGTGCATAAGTTGGTCCTTTCTGCCAACTTATTTCTCATTTTTCATTAATCCATCATGTTAGAAATGTTAAACTTCACCACATCAGAAAAGGGGGGGCTCTAGATTTAAAGAGCCGTACCCTCTTCTTTGTTAAATGGTGAAGTTTGGCAAAGCAATGCATCATCATAAAATACCTGTTTACTTAGTTTTGTGTCAAGGAAAATGAAAGAAATTCTCATGAGTTTCTCCTGATGTTGACTTTGTCTGTTGTTTCTTTCTCTCTCCTCGCTCCTCGCCATTTCTATCTCCTCCTCCCCACACATGAAGCTTTCTCTCAAGCTGGTAAGCATGACCGTATAACCACACGACCGTAGCGGCATGACCACAGCACGCATGTCACGTCCTCCCAGTAACACATTGTTAATAACGCCTTTATTGTTTATTGTTTTGCTCTTTTTGGATTTGAGATAATGATATTTAATTTTTTTGCTGTGACACAACGATGGACCCCAGACTCATATCGTTGTCTCATTTTACATGTCATATTTCATCTACCTCATGTTGTGGTCGTGTTCTCGTCATGTCTCTCCCCCAAAACTGTGTCTGTGGTCTCTGTGGTGCAGCTCACACTCAATTCCCACGTCCGGAATCTCATTGAGGTGATCAGATTTACTCTATGTTTTATCTGTCCGTCTTGTAGCCTGGTCTGGTAGTCCCCGCTGTCTCGACAAATTGTGTGTTTGTGTAACAAATACTAATCTGATCTGACGTAGTGGTTGCTCACTTATGTCCTGACACTGCATGCCAAGTTTTATTCAGTAGAATGCTGTTCTGTAAAACTCATCTAAGCTTGATTATATTTTATTTTTTAAATATTTAATTTGATGTGTCATTTTTGCAAATGTGTTTCTTTCAACATGTGTACAACTGATGGTCACTAATAATATGCCACAATGCATTGTGGGATACAATTAGTCCACTATATACGGTATAAGAATTCTCATTCAAAATTCAGGCAGCACTACGAGAAGTCTCTGCTCCTGGTTAAAGAAACAATTCACCTTTGAAAACAGCATGGCTCACTGTTTATTACCCAGATTCCAGTGTTAGTGGTAAGATAAGCTAACTTCTCGCTGGATCTCACTTTCCATACACAAGAGCAAATCTCTGCAAGAAAGTGGAAAAGGGCATTCCTCAAAATGAACTTAAAATCAGGCCTTTTTTAGGATTTGTGTAATTTCAATATTCTTGGATTCAATGTGAATGTTACCAAACAAAACAATACATTTGTGAATTATCCATCCTAAATGTATCATTGTACAACCAACTGATTATTTCATCCCTGCTCATAGTTTTAGCTTTGATCACGTAGACTTGAGATTAACCGTCGTTGTTTGTCCTGGGAAACAAAGAATGCAAACACTAACACCTGACGTCTGTAGTGTAACTTGTGACTGAGAACGGAGCATGTCACTGCATGATGATTGACAGATCTTTGTTACGTTGCATGCCCGGTAAGTGTTGTGTGCTGATGCAGAGAGAAGGGGTAAGATCACCGTGGTAACCTGGCTGCTGTGACCTTTGACCTGGCTCATGTGCAGTGAATCCTGACCTTGAAGTCCGTAGCTCCAGCAGTTGTAACCTGTGGTGCCGCTGTGACCCATCTCAATGAGATCCAATCACAGGCCTTGATCTATTCAGTCAACACAGCACGCTCTTCTGTTTTATTACACTACAAATGATACACTGATAGAGGCTGTAGTTGGGTTTAATATTAGGAAAATCAATAAATGTACTTCAATAAGGAATTGGAAGGAATCAATAAAGGTGTACAATTCACATAGCATTAAAAAAGTGTATTATTCCAATAATATGGTTAGAGTTGATCCAATTTATATATTTACCTATAGACATTTTAATTTAAAACATCAAACTTTTCTTGACAATTTTTTATTTAATCTTGAACTTGTTGGGGCTCCATACAGACCAGCTGTCACTGTAATGCTGTGCAGCATGACTCACCAGTTCAGTGTTACAGCCCCGAAACAACCTCATCAGGAGATAAGACCCATTAGGAAGCCAAAAGGACCTCCACTCACCCACCCAGCCTCCGGTTTCAGAACACAGTTCCGTCAGACAGCTTCAGATGCATTAGCCAGCTCACACTAAAAGTCTTTATGAGCAGTAATAGGATGCATTTGCGCTGCATTCATAGTTTAGGTGTGGCGGCTGAATAGGTGAAAGGCCTTGAGTCTATAAGCAGACAAACATCCCAGCTCTCAGTGAGTGAGTGGTAGAGAGCGGCTGCAGTATCTCCTTCAGGTTGATTTACGTGCTCAGACCATAACATGAGCTCCATTTGTGGAGCTGTCATCCATTTATCCCTGAGTCCTGGTTCACATGGTTTAAGGCAAAGGGAGATACTGCACCCTTAAGATCCCTGTCAGAACCGCAACACAACAAATCATGGATCATAAAAATTCTTACAGTTTCTTTTTCTCCTTTTTTGGTTCTCCTTCCTCCCTCTTTTCCCCCCTCTCAGGGTTCTGGACCAGAGGACTTCAGCCACCTGCCACCAGAGCAGAGAAGGAAGAAGCTCCAGGGAAAGATTGATGAATTAAATAAAGACATTCAGAAAGAGATGGACCAGAGGTATCCTCATAAAGCTTTACATTTACCACTAAGAAGCATTTCCCCTCCATATATGACGAGTAATATTTGTGCTTAAAATACTGAGTGAAGTAATGTGCTCTCACAGGGACGCTCTAACAAAGATGAAAGACGTGTATGTGAAGAACCCTCAGATGGGAGACCCCGCCAGCGTCGACCCCCGACTATCAGAAATAGGCCAGAACATCGAGAAGCTCCAGTTTGAATTGCAGAAGTTCGAGGTGAGTTAAATTCGTGCCAGTCACAGCTCTCGTTTCTTTGTGAATGTTAGTGTTGGCAAAGTTATCTTGTTTAGTTTATCTGAGGCAGTAAATAATGGAGGAGATCTTAACACACACACACACACGCACACACACCCATCTGGTGTAGTTCCAAAAAAAGACTGCTGCTCGTCCATATTAGGAGAAGATGTGATGCAGCTGGAGGAGCGGACCGACTGCATGGTCCACGAGGAGCCGTCAGAACATTGGCCTGGTTTAACCCTGTAAATAAATGGCAAATGAGATGGAGTGCAAGGGAGAGAGGTGTTCGTCCTCTGAAATCTGTTGCCAAAATATAAATCTGATTCATGGATAAACAGAATACCATTACGCTTGATCTGATTTTAAAGATATCATGTAGGGAAAAAACTGTTTCGCTGCAGCCAACACAAACATAATCCTTGCGTGCGTTTCAGGGCTGGTTAGCAGAGGTGGAGGAGAGGATGCCATCCAAGAGCGACACACACCGGAGAAGTGTGCTCTACGAGACGCAGAACAACGCGCCAGTGAGCAACAACTGTGCGCAGGACAGAGAGAGGTATGGCATACTCATGACAAACAGAACCACCGGTCCCACACGCCCGGGGGTGTTACTTGTTTTATTTGTTCGAAAGAAAACTATGTATGTTTTCACAGTATATTTACTGTGTGTGTTGGCCCTTGAGCAGCCCGGATGGCAGCTACACAGAGGAGCAGAATTCAGAGACTCAGGTCAAAGCTACCACCCACCCCGTCCCCACCTCCAGCACGCCGGAGTTCGACGATGAGTTTGACGACGAGGAGACCTTGCCCACCATCGGCACCTGTAAAGCCTTGTACCCCTTTGAAGGTAACTCTAATATTCACATAGAAACATGTAAACCCATCAGACTCATCCGCTGATGTTCCCCAACATGAAGGTTATTGGTTTGTTGCCACACACATACTCTCTATTGGTCAACTGCTGGTCATTCTCTAATTGTTGAAACAGTGTGCAACGGCTTCAGAAAAGTGTTAAATATGTCAAGATATTACATAGATATGTGTAGGTAGTTCTTAATTATGTTCAAGTTTATTTATTGCTACTTCCGTTGCACTTCTCAATGATACAGATACAGCACACTGAAATAAAACTAAAGTAAGTAATCCTTGGACTCCAATATTCCATATCCCTTCACATCTGTCATACTTGACCTAGGTCCTTGTTTTTATTGATAATGGTTTTAAACACACTTGATTTTTAAGTTCTCTACAAATACTGCTGCTTGGTGTTTGCATCAATTGAAGTTGTGAGAAGCAGCTTTTCTAACAAAAGCAGAGTCTGTAACATCAGGTGTATTTTTAAGTATCAAACACATATTTCATCTACCTCGTAGATTTCTTCCACAAAAACGTTTTTTTCAGCTGCCACATTTGCTACGGTTCTTTATCACAACAGGAGGGTAAATGCACTGGGATGAACACAACTCTGATGTTTTAGGAAACAGACTGAGCTGGGCCCTAACTTGTACAGATGGACGGTGGAGGAATGTGATTTGATTTCTCTCGAGTTAGAGTAGGTGTGTGACCTCCCTGAAGAAATATGTGAAGGAGGAGAGCAGATGGATGTACAATCGTTTCTGTGTTACATTTGAATTCTCAAAGGATGACAAATATAGTGCTGGGTGGAAATCAGAGAGCAAGAGGTCGTAGTTATTTTGCAATAACTTAAGTATTAGTAAATGTCATCAGGCAGACTTTAAGTGCTCAAATATTTTTTATCTTCTCAATGATGATTGTGAAATGATTTAACATTTTTTGGACAGTTTTATTAAGTTAAGCTCATAGTCCAGTGATTTACAGTGATACAGAGGATGATGTACGTCATCCTCATGAGAAGCAAAAGGAAAACCAACAAATCAGCTCTAAATAATAAGAGTAGAGGCCCAGGAATAAGTGCAATGCCAATAGTAGAGAATTGATAATGACACATGAATTAAAGAGCAGCATCACAACCAGAGAGGCCACGGCTTTGATTAGCCCCATTTCTACATCGTAAAGAACCCTGGAACATTACAGAGTGAAAGGAAAAAATAATTACAGACAGAAAAGATATTTAACCTCTTATTCCAACTTAAGCACAGAACAGACCCAGCAACTAGTCTGCTGATACAGCAAGTAACAATGTTGGGATCCACTGTATTAGAAAATCAACAATGGATCTTTGTGACTGACTCATGGCAGTATGGTCAAGGGTTGTGAGGCCTAAAAAAGTAAAAGCATCAAGTGTAGCTGTTTTTGAGGGTTTTTAAAGACCAGCTTTATTCTTGGACCCCTTCGGAAGTCGGGAACTAGTAGCCTAATGTATTAATTTGATTTAAATGTATAACTATTTATAATTTTGTTTGCTGTAAAGGTTATGTTTCAGGCAACATTACACAAAAATCATTTATTCATTTGATATTCAGTGTGTTGGAACCATAAAATTCTGCAGTTACTAATCTACAAATGCTTGTTACCAATTTTGTTTGGATTGAGGAGGCTTCCACCTGCAGACATTATCTGGCTGCTGCTGTATCTTTAAATAATACACAAGGAAAGATTAAGTGAGGAAGAAAAGTTTTGCAGGTTGATGTTAAGCCTCATTCAACTCCCAACTACTGTAGTTCATGTGCAAGTTAGCAGAGTTACTGTCGGCTGATCAAGCAACATCATGGCCCGATTTGTCGTATGACTTACAAATACAACTATAATCTACGTGAAGTTAATTAAAGGGAGTTCTTTCCTCTTTCCTCTTTTTGATTCGTTTTTTCGTCCATGTTTGCAGGTCACAACGAGGGCACCATCTCCGTGGCCGAGGGAGAGCTGTTGTACGTCATAGAGGAAGACAAAGGAGACGGGTGGACGCGAGTGCGCAGGAACGAGGACGAGGAGGGATACGTCCCCTCGTCCTATGTCGAGGTCTTTTTGGAAACAAATGCCAAAGGTGCTATGACATACATTTAACTCAGCAAGTCAATGTGGTAATGTTCCTGTAAGTCAGCAAGTTTAAAACTCGTTACTGGAATACCCTCCCTCCCCTCACACCCTCACACCCTCACACCCAGTTGTTCTCTGTCTCAGAGAAAAGGACCAATCAGAATTGTCCATTGTGCCTAATGACAGTTGGGACAGTTGTGGCAGAGTAATTGTCACTGAGCTTTGAACAACACTTAGTAATGTGTGTGATGCTGAATAAGCCCAGAGGATGTTGAGCTCAGCATTATGGGACAGATCCCGTGTACATTTCAAAAACTATACTTGATTTTTTCTTTTCTTCAAATCTCACTTGTTAAGATGTAAAATGTCTGATTACCATGTTCTGCTTTTAATCGAGACAAACATTTGCGCTGGTGTTTGAGTCTAAACTGAGTGAGAGAGCGTGTGCACCACCTGCAGTGACGCTGAAGTCACATCACAGATCAGAGTTACTGCGTTTCAGTCACTTGTTGGACTGTAAAGGAAAAAGCATGCTCCATGTGCAATCATACAAATGTAATTTAAATCTGCTGTAAAATATGAAAACATATTTTTGTAGGCTAAAGAGGAAAAAAAGAGAAAAAGCCCCTTACAAGTGTTGCATGCTGTAGATTGATCATAGTGCTGTAACGACATTAAGAAGTTGTGACGGCAAGTATTCTCTGCTGCTTAGGGCTTATTTTATGAAATGATTCAATTAGTAACTAATTGTCCCCTTAAGATATTTTTTTTCTTTCTATTTGAATCCACCTTCGATAATGAGAGTGTTGGACTGTTCTGGGCCTTTTTACAGGCCAATGGTAAAAAGAATGAAAGGAGTGAGAATTATCTGTGCTAAGCTCTGTGGTGAGCCTGGGCTGAGATACGGAGCTGGTCGTGACTTTTAAAGCTTTGTGGTTTTCTTGCATGTGTCTCTGAGCGGCACCTCACTTTAAAAGCACGGTGTGTGTGTGTGTGTAGCCTCTGTCGTTTCACTTCACTGCCACTGATCCCGTTCAGACCTGGTATTTACGTCCTGTCGAGGGCGTAACATTGGGTTGATCATTGGGAGGGCTAATGTCAAATGACATTGTCAAATATTATTATTACTACTGTTTATTATTTATTATCAGTGAATAAGCTCTTGATATAACTTAGAAATAAGAACTATTAATAATACTTGCCAGATAATACCAACTAGCATGTAGCCAAAGTAGCTACATTAAATTTGGTGCAAATTAAAATTGAATCAACAACCACTATATCATGATTTACAACAAGTCAGTATTTTTCATTACGGTAATTGGGGGGAGATTGTGCAGGCTGGTTTAATTAACCCCACCCCCCCCAAATATAAAGCTTTGGTGGTCAGCGCTAAGCTCAGGTCTGAGCTCACCTCGTCCTGAGATCCGATCACTCAGACTACAACTGGAGGTGTTCTGGGACGCATGGGGAAACATTCTTTTCGCTGTGTGTAAGCACAGACCACCTACTCAGTCCTCTGAACCGCCAGAGTTTGACAATGAATCAAACTTATTTTTACTCTTCTCAGTCCCCATACTTTAATCTGACCTTGGCCATCGCCAACACTGAGCACCACATAATGAGGAATACAAGTTTTAAATGGGTAAACTCACAGTAGATCTGTGGACAGCCCATGATTCATTCACTCCCTGCTGACTCCTCTCGCTCTTTCTCTCACAACACACACGCACACATGGTGACACTGGACACATCTGGGGCAAATGAGAGTAAAAACTTTGCCATCACAAATTATGTTAATTTGCATGCAGAGCGTGGAAGGAAGAATCGATCACATGTGGTCACAGAAGACGCATTCAGGACACATTGTAATACTTGGTGTGACTCTCAGCAGGGATAATACCAGGTCTGAGCAGGACAAACGAGACAATCTGTCCTTTACAACATTTAGCGATCATCGCTTTCATCACTCAATGCACAAGCCTTCGTTTAACGTCCTGTCCCACTTCAGGCCTTTTCAGCTCGGTCATTTTATCAGTGAGTACAACATTTCTCACAGCCTGTAGTTTTAATTGTAGAGCATTTGAAATGTGGTGCATGTGGCAGTATCAGTGGGAGTTTTCCTCATGGTTTCATTGTTGTCAGAATGTTGTGACCGAGTCAAGAGGCTGCACTCTAACATGCCTTCAAGCCAGATGGAAACTTAAGCAGAACAAGCTGAAAGGCTCTTAGTTAAAAATCTTTGGGTTAAATGAGGTCTTTGACACATTCATTATTTAAAAGTTGTTGCATAAAGCGTTCTCAGTGTCATCTTTCTTCCTCCTTCCCCTGTCAGAGTTACTCAGTTGCTGTCTTTGACTCGTTTCTCCTCTAAAAGCTATCTAACGGTTCTTTCTGTCATTTTTTTTGTTTGTTTGTATTTCTTTTTTTTTTAAATTGCAGATTCCTAAAAGTGTGAGGCTGGCTGAGGAATGGCAGGGCAAGCACGCCTCGGAGATACCACCACGTTCCTCACACGCTCAAAGTGAAAGACGACCTGAGTCTAAAGAGACGACCAATAATATCGCATCTCAGTTTCCAAACCGTTACAAAAATAAACTATATCGGCAATGTTGCGCTTCCTCTGCTGAACTCTGCAATGTGAAGCAAGGATAAGAGAATTTCATCTAAATTTTAGCGCTCATAACCTTTTCCCTTCTTAATAACACCCATTCAGAAGTCACAAACCACAGTACACAACCTTCTTTGTGTTGCTTTCAGCAAAGCTTCGCTTCTTATTGTAACTAACTCCGCTTGCATCGCGCGCGGTCATGAAATCTGGCTGTTGGCTTTCTCAGACTCAGCGTCACCCCTCTTTTTCCTTACCTTTCCCCCGTTACACACACGGCAGAGGGTGTGGTCAGAGAGAAGATGGGGACCACCAGGAGCCTGCAGACAAAAGGCCAGCGGAGAACCCACGGCCCCCCTCCATCCAGTAGAGTGTGTGTGGGACATGAACTCCTCACTCACTCACTCACTGACTCATTGACTTCATAGAGAATCATCCGAGGATCATCCACCTCATTCACTCCCTCTTGACACCTGCTTCCTTCCCACTAAAGTCAACTCCATATTTGCAGGTTTCACCCACCTGGAAACAGGAAGTGAAGGTGCTGATCATCGGTTTCTGTGTCATGTGCTTCTGGTTTGGTCGAGTGACCTGGATGCTTGTTATTTTTAACAGGGAGTTCAAGTTCCAGTATTTGTACAGCTCCCATATATATCTATATATATATATAGATATATATGGGGGCCCACAGGGGGGCTAATTTTGTAAGTACAAAAATGTTGCCTCCACTGGCAGCTGTTACAGCAGTGGCTTCTATGTAATCTCATCGGGGCAACTGCGACAGGCCGCAAAGGGGGCAACTAAATGTTCTTTTTTTTTAACCAATAAAATCTGGAGTCTGGGAACATTACACAGGTCGCTCAATGAGAAGTCTCACTCTCAACTGTGCAGCAGCTCGTTGTCCCTCTCTTCATTTGTGCTTCAGTTTGTAAGAGATTTTCGTCCATAAACTACGGCTCACTTTGTTGACTGTCACAGTTGCCCCCAATAAGATAACATTTTAGCCACTGCCGTCGACTCACGGCTGCCGGCGGAGGCGATCATTTCGAAAACGTTTTTGTAAGTACCATGGTTCAAATTCCCCTTTAAGGTGTTGTGTGTCGTAAATGTCCAGTTTACTCCACTCCCACATTCCCAGGACCAGCTGGAGGAAAAAAGAAGTGATGGATGATTTCATCATTCACCATCACTCTCATCATCCACCGGTCTTCCTGTCTTGTCACTGGTGCTTGTTCTTCTCTCTGACCACACCACCCTTATCACTTCCACGGCCCCTCCTCCCTCCTCAGGTGGCTCAGGCTTACCCTTGGGTGCTTTGAGACCCTCCCTCCCCTGCCCCTCCCCCTCTTTTTTTTTTTGTTGCAACAGCTCAGGGCGTTGTGGTGTGCTGCATGCTTGCCCTGTCGTCCTCCTCGCCCCCCTCTGCTGGTGGCCCGGAAGGAGCTGGTGCTGGGCGTGTTTGCTCAAGCTTATGCGCCCCCCCTCCCTCCAGCCTTTCTGTTCAGTTAACCCTCATTGCCTGGTCGTACTGTTTGAATTAACCTGGATGCTACTGTTTGGGTTCGGTGCCTGTGTTTTTTTTTTAAATCTCTGTTGGTTCAGAAAGCATGTTTCCCATGTTTCCCCTGTTTGTTTTTTAACAGCGAGCGAGTGATCACCTCCTCCACAGTTAAATCTCAAAACTGCAACAAGGATCTGAATTGTTTTCTTTGTCTGAATGATCTTATGAATAGATAGTTCAAGAAAGTCTCGTGCATTTGTTTTACTGTAAGTTCACAGTCCAGTATGTTTGTACAAAATGTTAGTATTGTATGTTTTTCGAGCAGAGTGTCTAATGCAAGTTGTTAGTTTACAGTCGATCACCTTGTGCTTGGTCCAAGCAGCAGTCAACCCAAAAAACAAAAAGAAGAAGTTATGATTTACACCTGATGTGTTTTTACGATGGCCCGCCTACTGCCTACTCTACTGTATATGAAAATATACTGTGATTCATCATCTTCCTGTGAATTTGTGACTGAAGTGAACTGAACTTTTTTTTTAACAATCATGAGGAATTATGCCCTCCCCTCCAACCCCCCCTCCTGCTCAACGGCACATAACGTATTTGATTTTTAATATTTCTGTTTTATAATTTTCATGATCTTAAGTTGAGATTCTGCTTTCCTGGTTTTATTTTGAGCTGGAAATTTTTCTTGTAGCTTTTTTATTTTTTTTCTCTGCCTGAACGGGACTAAAATCCCTTTTAACTGCAAATATAAAGTTGAGTTGCTTGTGTTTTTTCTTCCTTTGGATGAAGCCATTTTGCTGATATTCATCTGAAGCAGAATATTATGAACACTTCCCGACACTGATGAGTGATGGACACAAAGACAGTTTGGACTCTTGATGGAAGGAAAGATCAAAACCCTGCTGAAGCTTCAAAAAAAATAAATACCATGTTCGCTTTTTTCGCCACCCATCTCAAAATATCAAGAGAAACACTTGTGTCATATTATTTTCTGAGTGATTCATGACGATATAAACCTGACGAGGTAAAGACCACCACTTCAATGGCAGCAGTAGTTTTATAATGTCTGCCTGTGCTCAATGACAAGACCACCACAAACCTTTCAGTTAACGCCCCTGAATAAACCGCCTGTACAGAAGAAATGGCGCGATGGAATTAGAGAGAGTATATATGAATATATAAATAAAGTTTAAAAAGGACAAACATCTATTTTAACTATTGGAGAGTCTTACCATGACTTTATCTGCTTTGCAAAGTAAGACTTCTTTTTCCTTTGTAAGGTCTACCAAATGGTGTGTTTTGCACTTTTTCGTTTGTGTTCCATTTGGTAGCCCATGCTTGTGTTTTGGAGCACTGAATACTTTGTATTGTGTTTACTGTGCCAATTAAATATGCCTGGAAAGTAAATGACGAGTTGGGACTTTTCTTCTTCCTCAATCACGAGCCACATGCAAACGCCCACAATGTCCATCATCAAAAACAGCAGCTTTGATGATAATACCATAATTAATACACAGAGAACATCTACATATGTTTACAGTCAGATCAGTAATGCTGGTTATGAGATATGACTTTTAATTATAGTGATTAATTAAATGGATGTTATGCTTGACACAAATAACCCACCTCATTGTGTCATAACTAAGCTGACACTTATATTATAAAATTATACATGAAGAACAAATCGGATCTTGATTTTAACAACAAGCTCTTGCCTCGTAAACTGACCATTGTTGACAGTGTAAATAAATCAATTATCTTAAAAGGGCTAAACTTAATATCCATGGTTTATGGTCAAAAAATATATAATTTTTACTCATTTGTAGCCATTAAATGCAAGACAGATCAAATGAGCATTACACCTGTAGACCAGTGTTATAATAATAATATAATTATTTTTGGCTTTTTCTGTATAATACAAATCTCAGAAAGTGTATCAGTGAGTCATGAGTATATTCTGAAGGCATCATTAGTCGGAAACTACAACAGTGGACAAACCAGTTTTGGATGTTTCTTCTTTTGGCCACTAGAGAGCAGTCATGTTCCATCAAAATCTGCTAACTTGGTGAAAAGGAGTTTCCAACAGAACCCTCGGTTCCTCTTTTCTTTCTCTAAAGCACTGACAGTACAGTACTTTTTGAACATGAGACAACTTTCCCAGGTGGTTGTTGAATAATAGAAACAGATCTTGGAAATGTCCTGATTCTGTTTGTTTTCACTTTACTCTCTCCTTTTGGTAATTTGACCTAATCTATTAGATTTTAAATTCAAGTTTTTTTTCTATACATTCTTCTGTACTGTTGTTCGAGTGCATTTCACCTCCAGTCGCTGCAGCAGTCACACGTATTGATCTGGACCACAGACATGTCTGTGCTGCACGGAGCTGCAGCTGTGATCAGTCCCTTCACACAAACATTTTCAACAGCCTGATTGGCCTTTGCTCACTCAAAGCCAACACGCCGCACTAAAGAAAATGAGTTACATCTGTGAAACCTGCAGAGTGAGTGGACCTTCCCCTTCAAACATAAATCGGACCTTTGTGATGGGTTTATTTGACAAGGACAACCCATCAATTTATATCCTTTACAGTCTGGAATAATTGAAATATAATCTGTTAAAATAAACCAGACGCGAAATGCAGACATAATTCATGTACATCATCTCTGAAATGCCAAAACAGACAAGTTAGCTTCATCTGTTCTGTGTGGAGATGAACATTTCATCCCAAAGCAACAATCCACTTCTATAAGAGGCCGCTGCTTTCAGCCTCACTGAAGAGACCGAATCAAAGCAGCCTTAGACTAATCCTCCATCTGTCTTCAGGCCCAAGTGCTTTGTGTTTTTTACAGCCTGTGGTAATCTACATGCTGTACGTTGTTTGATGCTGCTAAACTTGTTCTCTCTGTATGTCAGCAGACTTCACACGTCGACTGATTTTTATATATAAATCTCTCTCTTTGAGTTGGTTCCTCCTGAACTGTGAACGTGCGTATGTAAAAAATTTAATCAAAATGGCCTGAGCACAGTATTATTCGACAAATGAGAACAAAGCTTAGCAAAATAAGTTATTAAATAAGCTAATAGCTCTTCTTGACATAATCTACAGGAGGATCTGAAATTGGGGGGGGGACTAAATTACTTTGGTTCATCCTACACTTATATGCCTTCTTCTGGAAAAGGTTCTCATTAATTAACACAAAGCCTCATTAGCTCCTCTGACCAGAACAGCAGCTCACAGTGATTGTATTATTCTCTGGGTGCTGGAGGGCAGAGCGGAGGCATCAGGTTGTGAACATGTGGGTTCAAATGACTCAACTGTGTGAAGGAGGAAGACCCTGAACTCCATCTGAGTTCATCTGCACTAGATACAACTGTGTTAGGAGCCTGGTGGTTCTGACTGACGTCCATCTCTGTGTCAGAAAAACAAAAGATAGAAGAACAGAAGAATGAGGGAGGAGGAAGGCAGTTCTCTTTTTAGCCATGTTGGATGGAGATGATCGTTTCCACCACACTAATCTGTCTCAACAACTACTGGATGGATGAGTGCAAAATGTTCCAACATTCATGGTTCCCAGATGATGCATCCAAATGTTTTTATCCATCAAAGATCTTCATTCTAAATCCTTTGAGGGTAAAACTGGATCTCAGCTGACAGAGGGTGAGAGGTGGGGGGGTTCACCCTGGTCAGGTACATCCTACATCACATGCATGGAGACAACCATTCACACTCACGTTAAAAACATGGGTCAATAAAAAGTCTGTGATGAACCTAACCCCAGTCTGCATGTCTTTGAAATGTGGGAGGAAGCCAGAGAAAACCCACGCAGACACGTGGAGAACGTGCAGACTCCGAACAGAAAGAACCGGGATTCAAACCTCCTCCACAGCTGTTGGATGGAGTGTGAATTGTCTTTCTGTCTCTGCACAGTTTCTACCAATGGGTCCATGAATTTGCTCAATGTCTCATCCTTTGTAGGGAAGCTCATTTCCACGACTTTGTTCAAATGTATTATAATGATCAAGTTTCTCAAATGAACAAGTTAGCTTCTCAGAATAACAACAAAGCATCTGAAATAACGAGTTATTATTTTAAAAAAATGAGCTACGATCTCATAATTTCGAGTTAGCATTCATCTTTTTTTCTTTCACGTGTGCTTCCATAGCTTTGACCCTGCTCATGAGAGATTGTAGATGTGACTTTCTATTGAACAGTTTTCTGTTCCACGATTTAATAAATCAAGTAACACTGTGAACAGCTGATATGTGGGCCTGCAGAAGTCCTCTGCCTTCCTCTGTGCAGATGGGAACTACATTTTTGCCACATGACGTGGACTCACAGATTTGAACTCTTCACTCTGAAATCCTCCAAAAGAGATTCAACTGTGACTTTAACTTTACTGCAGCCTAATGAACAGATTTAAGACTCTTCACTGAGCCAAAGTAGAAAGATCTCAGGTGAACCAGCAGGAAAGTCCCTGAAATGATCATGATTCAATGTTCACTGCTTTAAAAAGACAAAATATATATATATATAGCTTTTACTTGCATGGTTAAATCATCTTCTGCAGAGAATGAAGTAAACACTGTCTGCCTCTGTGGCCATGTTTTTTCACTAAATCAATACATTCTCCTGCCTGTTTGAAGGGTTTTGTAATGGTTTTCTTTGGCCTGTGGTCACAGTGTGTTCTACCTGCTGCTTTCAGCCTGTTCCATTACTGCTGTGTTCCTGCAGCCTGATGAGGAAAGCACACCTCTGGAGACCGGCCCAGTCTGTCCAGTCATTAACGTTCGGTGGGTGCTGCTGCGAAACACATCTCGGCCATCACCTCCTGCCCTGTACGTGCGTGAGTGCAAGTACCTACACAACTTGTTGTTGTGGATTAAAATTCAAGGTTTAGAGACTTGTCATTTAATTTTAAACACTTTATATGTGAACTTCCTGTGAGTACACACTAGTAGAGGAAGTACTTGAACATTTGACTTCAGTAAAAGTACAAATAAGAATTGAAAAATACTGCACTCAATGTACTCAAACTGTAAAAGTTAGCCAGAAGAGCCTGAGGGCCTCATGGACCTCTTTCCCTGTGGTTTCTGAAGAAGATCCAGCATGGACACGGTGCAGGTGTGCAGAATGAGCAACATTATTATTCACAGTCTTTGTAATGGCAACGTCAAAATTAAGCCTGGAATGAGTAAACATCTTTCAATGCTGAACAGCACTCAGCTGCTGGCCTGCTGCGGCCCGAAGACTCAGCTCGGGTACATTTCTCAAAAGCCAAAATATGTTGAATCTAGACCGTATGAGGAAAAAAAGGAAAGAGACGGGACAGAAACAATCGTTTAACAAGAGACACAGTGACTCGTCCTCCCCCGGATGCCTGCTAAGCTCCATGTCACAGTTACAGACAGACAAGCCATTAATAGGCTGCACTTTAATTTTAGACACAATGGCACATCCAGAAGCAGAAACCACAGACGTTTTGCCAGTGAAACAAAGAAGAAAAATGTGTGAAAGAAAAGAGGTCAGAGAGAAGCTGGTTCCTGCATTTGGAGCAAATATTCTGTCAGCAGGCTGAGCTGAGCTGTGATAATATACTTGAACTGTGGCTTCAGTTTTCTGAAATATTCTGAACTACATTACTATTTAGCAAGAAGAGCAACAAAGTAGACTAGTTATTCTGTCGTCTGCCAGGGCGTCCGTGAAGAGTTTCCAGATTCATCCGTTAAAATGATCGTGATATGCAGGTTTTCTGTGTTGACAAAATATTTTTCATACATGTCTAATGTCTCGTACTTTCACATAAGGTGAAGTATAGAAATATGTTATTCCAAGGGACATAAATAAGGAGGTTCCAGGAATATTTTCCATCTTGTCGGGGGGGGGGGGTCCTTGGCTGAGGAAAAAAAACAAAAACCTCTGCTCTGTCCCTCATCTACATTTAAAAAAGCATAAAAGAAAGAACTCTGGTGCAAAGAGGGGAAATTGAGCCCTGAGTTGCTTTGACAGAGCTCTTGCGTTGATTCAGGGCACCTACCGATTCCAGCAGTCATAATTTTCTCAGAGCTGAAGCAGCAGGAGGTTAAAGCCCCATTGATGTGTGCTATAAGTTCACACTGGGCCCGGGGGCGTGTCGGTGGACACTTTTCACTTTCCCCACAGCGAGCCCCGGCTGTGTGCTACAGCCACACATCTTTGCTCTTTAATTAGCTGCTGCTAATTACAGACAAAGGCAGGCAAATGCGGGTCAGAGACCATAAAACAATCACAATCTAGCAGAAAACTCTCTCTCCGCTCCGAGTGCACTCTCACTTTCCTTCCCCTGTCTTTTGTCCGTCCCTCCAGGCATCAGCAAAAAAAAAAAATTCTACTTCTGGTGCAGTAGTGGAAAATATGCTG